ATGCACAGTACAATAACCCTATTCTCTATGCAGAGTACAGTAACCCTATTCTCTGTATAGATTATATTAAACCTATTCTCTGTACAGAGTACACTAAACATAATCTCTGTGCAGAGTACACTAAACCTTTTTTCTGTGAAGAGTAAACTAAACCTATTCTCTGTGCAGAGTACAGTAACCCTATTCTCTGTGCAGAGTACACTAAACATATTCTCTGTGCAGAGTACACTAAACATATTCTCTGAGCAGAGTACACTTAACCTATTCTCTGTGCAGAGTACAATAAACCTATTCTCTGTGTAGAGAACAGTAAACATATTCTCTGTGCAGACTACACTAAACCATTTCTCTGTGTATACAACATTAAACCTATTCTCTGTGCAGAGTACAGTAACCCTATTCTCTGTGCAGAGTACAGTAAACCTATTCTCTGTGCAGAGTACAGTAACCCTATTCTCTGTGCAGAGTACAGTAAACCTATTCTCTGTGCAGAGTACAGTAACCCTATTCTCTGTGCAGAGTACAGTAAACCTATTCTCTGTGCAGAGTACAGTAACCCTATTCTCTGTGCAGAGTACAGTAAACCTATTCTCTGTGCAGAGTACAGTAACCCTATTCTCTGTGCAGAGTACAGTAAACCTATTCTCTGTGCAGAGTACAGTAACCCTATTCTCTGTGCAGAGTACACTAAACCTATTATCTGTGCAGAGTACACTAAACCTATTCTCTGTGCAGAGTACACTAAACATTTTCTCTGTGTATACAAAATTAAACATTAAACCTTTACTCTGTGCAGAGTACATTAAAACTATTCTCTGTGTATACTACATTAAACCTATTCTTTGCGCAAAGTACACTAAACCTTTTCTCTGTGCAGAGTACACTAAACCAAATCTCTGTGCAGAGTACATTAAACCTATTCTCTATATAGAGTACATTAAACCTATTCTCTGTACAGAGTACACTAAACATAATCTCTGTGCAGAGTACACTAATCCGATACTCTGTGCAGTGTACACTAAACCTATTCTCTGTGCAGAGTACATTAAACCTATTCTCTGTGTGTGTACATTAATACTATTCTTTGCGCAGAGTACATTAAACCTATTCTCTTGTGAATTGATTAATTCCCATGAAGAATTCATATTTAGCCAACCAGTCCTTAACCATTCTATTTGGAGCATTATTTAATATTTAATATTTATCCTCGGATGGTTGCATTAACAGACAAATGTAATTGATACGTGTAAACAAATAGTTACGTACTGATAACAGCGTTATTTACCTTATAAAACCAATAAAACACACTTATTTCTCAAATACATTAAATATTTACTAACACTGCACTTAAAGTAAGAACATTTAACTCGCTTTAAACAATAACGTTATAATTACTATATCTTTGCAACGTTATATAAAGAGTAAACCTTTGGTATTTTTAATTTTGCTTCTTTAATTAGGTTACAGAGGTATGAGAATTAGAAAATTAATGTTTAAGGCGAGAAATTAGTTCCTTTTTAACATAATTAAAGGGAGTGTCTGGCTAGACATGTTAGATGAGCTGAGAATGCAGTATTTTAGAGAAATATGCTAAAATTCATTTGAGACCTATCAGACGATTTTGCATATTGGTTCAGCAAGAGCGCAAATTCAATCTTTAAAATCCTCAAATATTGTATATTTTGGAGGGATGATTTTGAGAATCGGTTTTTAAAAACTATTCAATGACGACCACGAAAAATGTAACGAAAATTCTGCAGTAAACTAATTAGTTGTACTCTATTTAGTTCTATAACGTCTTAATTAACATAAAAGATATCAGAAATCTCTGAATAGGACAGTATAGGTGGCTCTTCTAGAGTATTCTAATATCTTTGGAAGAATGCAAACACCCCGGAACCATAAATCTTTCTAGGTTCATGGATCTGTAAGATTTAAAATTGCTCCGGCCACTAGTCCTTTTTAAACTTTAATTTAAGCAACTTTCCGTGATTTATCTCAAGTTGAAATGTTAAGCTTAATTTTGTTTAAATATATGATTGTATTTTTATATATTGGTGAAAATTGCATGAATAAAACGTTTATGTATCTGGCTAAAAAATTATTTACCAATAATGTTTAATGTATAAGATAAAATAAATGTCGTCAGTTATGCTAATCAGGCTACTTGGACTGAAATTTGAGATTTTTTTCCCTGCAAATATCTGAACAAAGACAGTAAAAAAAAGGGTGGCAAAGCCTTTTTTAATTTTCGGTTTTAAACTACCCTTTTTAAAGGACTTTTCTTAAAAAGTCGGATAAATTTTCACATTTTATTCCAAAATCCTGTGAGCACTCCAAAATTCTGGGAGCAATTCCAAAACCCTGAGAGCAGCCACCCCTCCCTCTCTGACCTCATCTTTGCTGGATAAACCTTCTCCAAGGTCCTACTAATACAGCAAGGGGACCGAAATGGAGATAATACATATACTTGGTTCAATTTCTTTTCTATGAATTATACAGCTTGTACAACAGTTCAGGACTTGTATTGAAGTGTGAATAAGTGCTATATGTGTCTGTATGGGTGTTGTATTGAAGTGTGAATGAGT